TCTTCATTTCCTTCCACCCTGCAATCAGGGGAGCGAAGGTGTCCCCAGCCACCATCAGTAGATGGATCAGACTGGCCATCTCCAAGGCCTATAAGGCGCGAGGCCTCCCGGTGCCCGAAGGCATCACTGCATACTCCACCAGGAGTGCAGCCACCTTGGCGTCCTGGGCCACCCAGGCCCCCATCGAGGACATATGTAGGGCGGCAGCATGGGCTTCGCCCTCTCCATTCATCAGACACTATCGGTTGGATGCTTTCGCCTCCGCGGAAGCATCCTTTGGGAGGAGAGTTCTCCAGAGAGTGCTAGACACTCGGGGGGACTTAGGTCCCATAGCCCCTCCCAGGGACACCTAGCTTTGGCATGTCCCAGCTGTGACTCCTCCCACGCCCCACTTCGGAGACTTGTCAGTTGGGCTTACCTTAACTGCATGTCTTGAAGGATGGCGTGGGAGCAGTCACTTCCCACCCATAGTGTGCCCCGCGGAGGATGGGCCTGAGTTCAGATAGTTACTGGTCAGTCAGGGATCGGGGGGGGGGGGAATGGGGGGTTTGCTCTGTTCCCTTCCTTCTAGATTCGCCTTGACTGGACTATCGATTAATCTGGAGAGTCAGAGGAGGAGTAGAGGTAGTGGCCTCAAGATTTATCTCAGTCTCCGGGCAGATGGGCTGTGACAATACCCAGCTGTAACTGCTCCCACGCCATCCTTCGAGACATGCAGTTCAGGTAAGACCAACTGACATTTTGTTTTCATTTTCTTTCAGGTTTTGAATGGTGGAACACAAGACATTCCTCCTGTCAGTATATTGCCTGGCCAGATACAAGACAATCCAGTCTATCCATATTCTGACAACAACTCCATTCTTGGTAAGCCAATTCATGAAAGTTAGAAGATTAAAATGAGGAATAGGAGAGTAGAGCCCTTTCATTGTGGAGCTAGGTGAAATCCTTAAGGATGAATCCTGCCTTACATAGAATGAATAGAATTTCTAAGAAAAGATATATAAAATTAAAAGATGAGCATATTGTAGAACATAATATTATATTAATAAAGCTCTAGAGTTTTGGAGGATCATTTTGTTGGAAGATGTTTTTAGTTTAGCTCCAACATTATTTCTTAAAAGAAATTCTACAACTTTGGTACCATATTAGTAATTTTACAAGTTACTATGATAAAATGTAAGATTAATATCTTAAATATTACTATTTAGAATATTTTATATTGATTTTTAATAAATCTTACTAAAATTAGGTTCTTTTTTCAATTTTAATCTACCTCATCCCCCGGAAAAATTCTTAAGATAGTCTAAACACTAACTAGTAGTATTTTATCCAAATTTTAATTATTTATACTATAATGTCATCAGTTACACAATACTATGTGGATGTTTCATTTCTTTGTACAGTTGACAGACATAAAATCAGCTATGAAATAAGAGAGTTCATACTATATGCAGTTGCTCTTAACATTGCTCTCAATTATACTATATAGAGGGATGCAGTGGTTCAGTGGCTAAGACATGAGCTTGTCGATCAGAAAGGTTGGCAGTTCAGCAGTTTGAATCCCTAGCGTTGCATAACGGAGTGAGCTCCTGTTACTTGTCCAGCTACCAACCTAGGAGTTTGAAAGCATGTAAAATGGAAGTAGAAAAATAGGGACCACTTTTGGTGGGAAGGTAACAGCGTTCCATGTGCTCTTTTGGTGTCCAGCCACATGACCACGGAGACATCTTCGAACAGTGCTGGCTCTTCAGCTTTGAAACAGAGATGAGCACTGCCCCCTTGAGTCGGGAATGACTAGCACATATGTGTGAGGGGAACCTTTACCTTTATACTGTATACTTTTCTAAGTATAATAATTAACTTAGGAATAGAATTATTGTAACATTTAATTTTTCCTATTCTCTTTCCAGGGGAAAACCCCCATATAGGCATTGATATGATAAACAATGACCAAGGATCCAGCAGCCCCAGCAATGATGAGGCAGCGATGGCAGTCATCATGAGCCTTTTGGAAGCAGATGCAGGGCTTGGTGGCCCAGTTGATTTTAGTGACTTACCATGGCCCTTATAGATGCTGCCCATAAGCTTTGACAACAGAATATATCAAAGTGCATTATTGGTGGAGTTCTCCAATCTGTGAAGCTTGCTGAATTGCTTTGGTGTTTTAATTTGATAAGCCATATCAGAGAACAGTCATACTTCTCCCGTGTGTACTTTTTGACCAAGTGGAGATGAATTTGCAATGGTGTTCCTATCATTTTTGTTAGCTGTGTATAGCTTGCATTAATTGTATATTTTGGGTATTGTTTTTGTGTTGACTTTTTTTAAAAAAAAATCACTGTGCAAATTAAGCACTAGCATCACTGGTAGCTTTTATATGCAAATGTCATTTCAGCTATTTGGTGTTTTTACACTACAGAGAAAATCCCTATGTGGATAAGGAATATTTCTTATACTAATATATCAAAGCTGTTTCTTGTAAGATCCTTTACTATAAATATTGTTGAAGTGTAATGTATTAGACAGTTAAATATTTTTAAAATAAAATGTTTTCTTTGTTCTAAATTGGAGTTACTTTGTAAAGTAGGGTACTCAGGCTTCAGCTGTTTTATGCAACTTGGTTGACTTACCTAATAAGCCAAATCCAGGATGAATACAGCTTTACTATTTGCGATGTAACCTATCAACTGCAATTTGGGTGGGTATATTGTATTCGATCCACAGATTTTGTAACACCATAGGAATACTTGAAATACTTAAATTGGGTAAACTTTAAAACGGGAAAATTTTCTTCCTTCCTTCAACCCAATATATGCAAGACCTTGAACCTTGTCTCGGTTGCTTTGCTCTTTTCTTTCTACATCTGGCAAAATAAGAGTATGAGAGTAAGTCACAGAACAATGATGCTTAAGTGTGGTGGTATTTGGAAAATGAAGATTGTTCCTTGAACCTTCTCATCCTAGAAGATAAACTATCCTACTAGAAACCAACAGAATACCAGAGGCATACATCAAACATGATTTTTTGGAGTGGGCTCATACCGAAACACAGCCTAGTTAATACTCAGTTATTATAGTATTAGTTAACATTCATAGTTCAATAGTTTCCTTTTTGAAATGGAAGGAGAGTAAAGGAAGTTGAATCAGATAGGAGCGGGAGACTGTGGACTGTTTGCTGATGCAGATAGTTTCCAGAGTATTGACTGAATGATTGCCAATCATTTCTGGAGATAATGACTATGCCTTATTAGAGTCTTGTTCTTGCTAACTTACCTAGGGCAGCTCCAGTGGAATATATAAACAACCCAGTTTCCAAAAAACAAGATCAACAAGCAAGGAAAAAAAGGAATTTGAGCACATCAAGATAAGAGGAAGGTACAGGGAGATATCTGCTTTTTCTCTTCTATTTTTTTCCATCAGTAGTACAGTAGGTAATCTTGTGTTCAGCTAAGGAAGGTGACAGAGAAGGCTCCAAGCAACAAGTGAGGGAAGCATCATTGTAATTCATAAATAATATGTAGTGTTTCTGTTCCTGTCTACAAACATCCAGAGTGTATTCCTGCTAACGTGCTCCCTTTATTAGAAAAAAAAAAGGGCGGGGTTGCTAAAGAAAAAAGTTGTAAATCTGCAATGGATCAGAAATAATATAAGTTTCTTGACTACTCTCCGACTATTCTTGAAACTCTCCAAAAGGAATGTATTGGAATAAATACCAATTGGTGAGGGAGAGAACCTCTCTGGTACAAGCAAGTACATGGAAGAATGTGATGTAAAATAAAAGAATCACTGGTGCCAAGCTCTCCTAAAGGAGTATTAATAGTCACCTGGGCAAATCATATCACTGAACCCATACAGAGGACGACCTCATACTAGAAAGAGGAAGTGCTGTCGATGTGGCCCGATATTGGGTAAATATCATTTACTATTAATCTTATGTAACATACTTTTTACACATGCTACATTCTATGACCTGTTTTATACATAGAATAGAATAGAATAGCAGAATTGGAAGGGACCTTGGAAGTCTTCTAGCCCAACCCCCTGCCTAGGCAGGAAACCCTACACCACTTCAGACAAATCTTCTTAAAGACTTCCAGTGTTGGAGCATTCAGAACTTCTGGAGGCAAATTGTTCCACTGATGAATTGTTCAGTCAGGAAAGGAGTGTTGACTTACCTGAATGGTCTTTGTGCGCTGTGGGAGAGTCTAAGCATGGGTTAATTCTGTCTGATTGACCTGGACTGAACTGAAACATATTTAGCCATGCCTCCGCTGCTGGCACTTCAGATTTTTTCGATGAAGGCGTGGACCTGTAAGTCTATTCAGCCGTGGTTCCATTGTCTGGCGTAAAGTCAAATTTAGATCATACAAGTCGTACTTCAAAAATAGTTCACATCTATAAAGCTGGCAGCAGCAAGAGACCCTAGGGTGGGGTTGGACTCTCCCGCAGCACACAGAGAAGACCATTCAGGTAAGCCAACGCTGTTCCTGTGCGCTGCTTGGAGAGTCCAAGCATGAAACATACCCAAGTTAAATGTCACTAGGGCAGGGAGTAAGCTAGTTAATGGTATCTCCAGTGGAATGAATACCCTGAAGGACTCGTCTCCCGAATGCTGCTTCCGCTGACGCAAACTTGTCTAATTTATAATTTCGCACAAACTGAGACGGCGATGCCCACGTTGCCACTCTGCAGATTTCTTCTATGGGCGCTTGGGTTGCCCAGGTTGCTGTGGATGCGGCACTCCTTGTGGAATTAAATATGTTTGCTGCTACTTAAAAAGTAATAATTGTAGGGGGAAAAACTAATTAAAAAATAATCCAGCAACAGGATTATAAGACTTTAAATTATTTTAAAATCTGAGGTTTCATAGACCAGTTTTCCCTAATGTGGTGCTCTCCAGATAGTTTGGATTACATATTCCATCACAAAAGGCTTGCCAGCATCCAAAATAAGTGGAAGAGGAAGATTGAAGAAAAATGCCACACAACCAGTTTACATGCTTCGGCCTCA